AGCTGAGAGAACCGCGCTATAGAAAGAGTCCCTCTCATACCCTTCACAAATTCGCTTTCTCAGTTGAGGCGAGAGGGTTGGACCAGCTTCTACTAGCGCTGCAATGCACTCGATTCCATCTATTTCCACTTCATCCTCATCACATCCTTTTCGTGATAACGCGTCCGCTACACCGTTATCTTCACCTCTCACATACTTGAAATCTACATCAAAATCCGCTAATGTTTCAATCCACCTGGCTTGTCGTCGACTAAGGTTGAGTTGTTTGAGCAGGTAGGTTAAGGAATGATGGTCGCTCATAACATTGACCTTCATACCTAACAGCATCATGCGCCATTTCTGCAAAGCGTGCATCACCGCTAGCAATTCCTGCTCGTGGACTGGGTAATTCCTTTCCGCTGGCGTCATTTGTCGTGATTCGTATGCTATTGGCGAGGCCAGTTTCCATTCCTTGCCCTGGAACAATGCAGCTCCTAGTCCTGCCCGACTTGCGTCCGTAAAAAGCCACAGCGGGTCCTCTGAGTCGAAGTTGATGTTTTTCAAGTGAGGTAAAGTTGCCATTAAGCGTTTGATGTTCTGAAAGGCCTCATCTTCTGCCGGTCCCCAGACAAACTTTGATGCATCGAGCTTAGTACTGGTGAGCGGCGTGAGTTTGTTCACGTATTTCTCTAAGCCCCAGATGAATTTCTTCATCCATTGTACGGTACCCAAAAACTTCTTGATACCTTTAGCTGATTTAGGTTTCTTCCAATTCAGTACCTGTTCCACTTTCTCCCCATCTACTCTAATCCCTTTTGCTGATATCCAATGTCCTAAAAACTTTATCTCATCTCTAAACAATTTAGTCTTCTTCTTGCTACAGTATAGATTTGCTTCTCTTAATTTTTGAAGTACTTTGCGAGTGTGTTCTTCGTGTTCTTCAGGTGAGTTTGAAAAAACCACAATATCATCTAAATATACTACACAGATTGAATTCAAAAGATCCCCTAATGCCTCCTCTAGACGTCCCTGGTGTGTGCTTGGAGCGTTTGTAAGTCCCATCGGCATAACACACCACTTGTATAATCCCCACGGAGTGTATACGGCCGTCAAAGGTATGTCAGCTTCTCTCATTCGAGTTTGAAAAAAGGCGTTGGTGAGGTCAATGATGGAAAAAAACTTCCCTGTAGCCACCAGCCTGACCAACCTGTCCACATTTGGCAATGGCGCGCGGTCCCTCACGGTCAGGCTATTCAAGACACGGTAATCACATACCCATCTTGGAAGTTCGGTAGGGTCCTTCTTTGGGATAATCAAACTCGGTGAGGCGTATTGACTAGTTGAGCGGCGTATCCTTCCAGCAGCAACGTGTTGATCAATGAGTTTCTTCCACGCATTCATATGTTTAGGTGGGTAGTTGTACTGTTTCTCTTTGATGGTTGCCTCTGGATCCTTCAAGATGATTTTATGACGAATCTTTGAGCTTTCATTCTGCATCTTCTCAGGAAATGAACCGTCTACAAACAGTCCCTCATCTTCTGCTTCATCTGATACCGCCGGTATGTCAATCGGAAAAAGATCTTTGAACTCTTCAAGCAACTTCGTCTCGCTATGCTCATTCACACTCATTATTGATAGGTCCCCTTGTGCTCGCACTTCTCTCTCCCAGGGCTCACGACACTCTCTCATAGGCTTGGTTATGCGTGGGATCAATAACTTGGTGTGTTTTTCTTTCAATTCCTCCAACACTCGATAATCATAAATTTTGAATCCTGTACGCTCACAAGTAATAGCACGCTGATTGATAGAAACAGAGAATTGAAATAAATTGAAAAATGGAGTCCCTAAAATCATATCAAATCCTCCTCCCACATCTCCTAGCTTACAGTATGTTCGGCTGAATTGTCTTCCAGACGTGGATTCGGTCAGATCAATTGTGGTGAAGTGAGTCAAAGGAGGTGGGGAAGATTCGGTAGCGACCGCTAAGCTGAGGTGCGTTGGCTTCACGAGCTTTCGCCGTTTAAGGTGAAGTTCTTCTGCCGCCCGATCTGTTAGGTGATTGACCTCGGCCCCTGGATAAGCGAGGGCTCGTAACGTCTTGCCGTTACAGGTGAATTCAAGTATAACGCGAGGGGACTTTGGGGGGGGGACGCACCCTTCAGCTTCCGCTAGGTCGAGCTCTTCGTCTAGCGCTTGTAATGCAGCTACTGACGCCTCGTCAAGGTCCGGGAACTCTCCGGCCGCTGCTACTTTCGCATAAGATGGCGCTGGTCGTCTAGCTGGTTGTTGATTGGTACGGCCGGCTTGATTATGAGTTCCTGGAGGCGACGATCTAGCTTTCGGTGGAATGTAATTCGCCGGTTTGGGAGGAGCTACATACCCGGGAGGGAAGATGACCTTCTCTCTGACATAGGGGCCTTTGCACCCTCGGTATTCGCTGCCACAATAGCCTTTACAAAAGTGGCATTTACCCAGAACATCTAAGTACAAGTGAATTTTCCATGTAAACTCCTCATCGGTTAGCCGGCCTGTCGTGTTGGTCGGAGCGGCTCGAGGGCGACTATACGACGCGTTGTGGTTGTACGACGTGGTCGGATTGGCTCTGATCTTCTTGGTGATGGCGTGGGAGGCTACCAATGACGCATAAAGTGTTTCACATTGATTTTCGAAGGTATGATAAGTAAAATCTTTGATTGATTTCGTAAATCCCCATAGCTTGACCGCCGTCTTCAGCTCTTCTATCATACCGTACTCCACAAAGGTTGCCAGTTGATGATCATTTATCACGACGGTGTGGAAGTTGATCAAGACTTGAATGCCTCGAGCTCTGGTACTGTAAGTGATGAAGTCTTCGTACGGTGACATCTTCAAGTGCTGAGCTTTCTCAAACAGGCGACTATTCCAATCGCTAGGTAAGCAGGAGTCAAAAAGTTGAACGAGAAAGTCCTTCCAGGTTCCCTTGATGAAACGATTGAATCCTCCTTCGTAGAAGGCATGTGCGTTCGGTTCCTCCAAGAAGCATCCAACTAGTGTGATTCGGTCTGTATCCAACGTCACACCTTTAGTTCGGAAGAACGTCTTCAACGACAAGTACCATAGAAGAAAAGGCTCCGCGTCACGGTACGGTCCTTTATAAACCGGTCCGTCAGATGTTCGGAACTTTGTTAAATCTAATCCAGCTGACGGTTTGGGTTCTTCTGGGGTAGACGTCCCAGGAGTCGATTCTTTGGGTGTCATGAGCTTCATCATTAGATCTTCGAATTTTTCCATTCGACGATTACTGGCGAGCTGGGATTCGATTATGGCTTTCATCAGATCCGTATCTGGATTATCTGGCTTGTCAGGTGGTGCGCTCATCGTTGGGAAGGGTTTGGGGTGTTGTTGATAAGGAGTAGGCGACGAAGGTACAGAAGAAAGTGGTGATTCTTCTCGGGACTCAGGCAGCTGTGGTAGCGTAGAAGGCTTGATATGGGTACGATTTGGTGTAGCAGGCGGTGGCTGATCGGTTCTGGCTCGAGAAGATGTCTGAAGAAGTTGCGACGCGGCTAGTCTGGCAATGGCTGGGTCTGGTCTAGAGCTGCGTGCCAATCGTCGGTTCTCGCGGATGATGGCTTCCGGGTCTGGCAATGGTACTGGCGGTGCTTTTGGGTTGGGGGGTGGAGCCTGTCGTCGTGTCGTCATACACGATGAACAGAGGAGGGGTCGGAACGTGGGGTAATGTAAGGTTTCAGGTCTCAGTGAATGGTGTCGATCGTAATAGAATCGAGGTGGCGCATTCAGTAAGGTTTCCTGGAGTATCAATTAAGGTTTATATTTTTTGAATTGATTTTGAATGATATAAAAAATCTCGGATTTGGGTTTGAGAAAAAAAAAGTGTAAGGTTCGAAGGAACCTTCACTCGATACTACGAACGGGACACCGTGAGAACACGGCAAAGGGTTTTCTAGAACCCAAGAGATCTAATCTGTGAATTGCAATATCAATGAAAGCACTGGTTCCGAATGATAAAGGGCAAGAGATTAGTCCCGATATCTCTAAGGAAGGCTATACTAAATGATAAAAGAGAAATGTAGAGAAATATAGAGAAAGAAGTCCTACCTGGTTCCGAATGATAAAGGGCAAGAGATTAGTCCCGATATCTCTAAGGAAGGCTATACTAAATGATAAAAGAGAAATGTAGAGAAATATAGAGAAAGAAGTCCTACCTGGTTCCGAATGATAAAGGGCAAGAGATTAGTCCCGATATCTCTAAGGAACCAGAAATCAGAGGGACGCGTGAACAACTTTATAAGTAAATGAAAACAAGGCTTAAGCTTAAGTGTTAAGTATTAAGTATTTGTATTGGGTGATGTGTAATGACCGTAGGTCTTACAAACATCTCCGTTCTTCATTCTTTTTGGGCCGGATTGCTACGTTTTTGGTCAGATGCCTACACCGGTTTTCCATTTTTGGAGGCCAGATTGCTACGTTTCTGGTCAGATACCTTCATACAACGTGTTTTCTTATAAAAAATCGACAAAGAGTGCCATTTGATCCTTTGCACAGAGCCAAAACAATTGAGGCTATTACAACAGAAACAAAGAGACAAATTGGAAGCTTTACACCACAGATGTGTCCCTAGAGCACGTCGCCGTGCACACACGAAGAGGTAGGAAAAAAAATGAATGAATTCTGATATCGTTAGTCTGTTTGACAGCGATGAACCGGTCACAAACCCTTTGTAGACATACAGACAAAGGCAACATCTTCTGACTGACCGTTATATTTGGAAACAAAGGCGCTATGTGCCCTTTCTTCAGTACTCATTTCAGCTCGACTGTTGAATCATGTTGTAATTAAACTAAGTCAAACTTATTGAGGCTTTCATCGTAAATAAATTGTGATCAAAAATTACAAGTGATCGTTTCTCAGTTGCTTTATCATCTGATCGAAAGATTGTAATACTTCAATCAAAGAGCCTGCAAACTACATATCTCAGCTCTTGCGATTTACTTCACCTTTTGCAACTGAAGTGTCTAACAATGCGTATGTCCATATGTTCTTTGCACTCGACCGCTGGTATCCAAAGATCTTGATATATTTCTTTTCTTTAAAGCTCGCCCGTCCCATCACTGGAAGAGAGGAGCTGCGGTGACTTCTTTGAAAGCCCTGAACGCTTCCGTCTATGCATCCCTTCCAAAGTCTACTGAAGTGATTTGCCAATCACTTGCTACATTCACACAAGGCTTACTCGGATACGACAAGTTAAACAAGACATATCCAGCCGGTCCTACACCTGACAAACGGTGCCAACTGCGGCCTTTAACCCAAGCTCAAATCATGGCTGATCGAACGGTTTTTGCAACAAACCCGATGACCGCTGACGAAGGCACACCAGAGGATTCACTTTTGGTGTTTAAAGCCTTCTGCCTGACCGATTTGAAGAATCATGAAATTCACCGATTGACCTTTGATTGGGCGCAGCCAGACCGGGATACTTGGAACCGCACTATGGCGATATTCATCGTCAAGCATTGGCAATATGCCCAATTGCAAGGTTCTTTTGGCAACCAGGCAATTACTCCCGCCCACAACACAGAAGGCATATGTATTGCAATTGTTCTTTGATGGATGCGCGGGCGTTCTGAAGAGATCAGGCAAAACCGGCGATCTCCTGAAAAAAATCTTCAGAAGGAGACCCGTCGGAAGAAAAGAATGGTAAGTTTAAAATTGTCTTACAATGAATTTCTCAACAAAAGACTCATTGATCTTTTGTGATTTGGTCAGCTGTTTAAATATCGCGTGGTTTCGCTATCTCGTCTTCTCTTGGCGGCTAATATTGGCCAAAGCGCCTCCGAGATACTGCCTCATCAGGACTGTTGTTCCGACACGGAATGGCAGCCTGAAGAGACCCACTGTCCAGCAGTTGGCTTGGTTTGGCGGAGCCAAAAATACACACAAATACTTCATAGAATTGATGAGCTCTCTTTCAAGTATTCTGCATCAACTCAGGGCCACCGACTTGCTTCTCAAAGGTTCGACCAAATTCGAACCATAGCAACCAATACTGATAGAAACGCTCCCGTGTGTTGTGGACTCCCTGAAAATTGTTATGAACCACTTTTCCTGGCAAACTTGACTGCTGAGGAAAAGTTGGCACTTCAAATAAAACCTGTTTCGGCTTGGTTGAACACCTTACCAATTCATATAGAGAAATCCCTTGTTTAGTTCAAGTTTGGCTTTCATAGTAGTTTTAAGATAAAAATTTCTCAAAGTAAACAGATTGTGTATATATACGTTTTTCTGATTCTCTACAAAAACAATGCAACAGTATATAAAGTCATGAAATATTCAAATTTAAGTTTTCCATGTGAGTTTTAGTCAGTTCGGGTTTCATCAATGGAGTGTCTCGTAACTTGACGACAGATCTGCGACACTCTGAGAAACACAAAGCAGTTAGTCTAAGTAAATTACGCTCCAATCAGGTGTTAAAGAGCGTACCATACTTTGAAGGCTGACCAAGGAGATGGTGGCCTGCGAGATGGCAAAAGTGCCTGGGGAATTGTGTAGCGCAGCACAGTGACCAAATAAGTGTTGCACGCCAATGGTCTGCGGTGACAGATTGATGTTGTACTTGAGTGTTGCATTCAAATGGGGTAGCAAACGATAAGGACTTCGATTCTCATCAATTGGGTCAAGTTCGCGAAATACATGAAGGAAAAAAACAGGAGTTGGAAGACTTTCAGTTCGTATGATGTGTTGAATCACGCCATGTCCTTTTTTCCCTAAAATATCGAACTATATATAGCTGTTCCCCGCATGTTCAGCGTAACTGCTGAATGTTTTCCCGCCATGTCGCCAATTCTTCGTAATCTCAAGTTTGTCCGAATTGATCAAACCCATGTCGTGTATGAATTGCTGAATTGATGCATAAACATCTGAGCTTGGCGAAAATGGGGTCCACTTAGTCGTTGATGTTTGCATAATTATATCAACACCAACTTCTGCTGCGTAGTCCGATGGGGCATTCCGTAAGAAGTTGAAATAATTGGCTCTCTGTGTGTGATGTTTTATCATGGTCTTCCCGACAATATTTAAAGACATGGCAAAGTGAGACATGTGGGTTTAAGAATAATGTATCAAAAGGATGAAAATGTGACTAATGATGCACCTCGGTCGCCGCTTTTGGGAGTGGCTACCATGGCACCTATCATACGCTCGCCAGCCCAACAAGCAGTATATGATGGTGGACCAAGTAGACGAGTTTGCGCTGAAAGGTGCTGCGCAAAATGGAGGTTCGGCTTGGATTTAATCGAAGGCCAGCACACTAAAAGATGATGTCGATATTGTACAAGTAGTTTATCTAGTGTGTTCAAGTCGGCAGTCTTCATCGTTCGGGAGACACTGATGTTGATGATCTGTGTGGCAAGTGTGATGGCTGTATATATTTTTGCAGCTTCTGAATGTGTTTCCGCGGTGTGATGATATGGCGCTAGGGAAAGCACCATGTATACGGTGTATAGAATGAGCCACTCTGCCGCTTTAGGAGTACCACATTGAGTTGTCCCAATCTTGTCTGGAACACGGGTGATCCAAGATGGAATCATGGTGTTCGATATACACTTGTGAACCTCCTTGAGCTCGTTTGTTGTGAGACAAGGACCGGCGGCTAGCTGTGCTGTGTGATCGGATGCTTCATCTGATAAGGGTGGGTGGTCATCACAATTAAAATTGCTGTCTGTTACCGACTTAGACTTGGAAGAACGGTCATACCGAGATCGAGTCAATGATTTTGCAGAGGAAAAGTTAAAATCGTTGCCACCCGAGGAAGCAGATTTGACACTCATTGGAACATCGCAAACTTTTCCAATAGTGGAATCATTGGCCAAGTTGACATAATCGCCGTTTGCAATTTTAGAGTCCTGTTGCTTCTTCAGGCCCTTTCCTGCAAACATAATTTGAAGATATGTATTTGAAAGGTCTCCTAAAAGGCCTAAGACCAGGCAATGCATGATATCTACTGTAGCAAATTCAATGGGCTGCCAATATGGTAGCTCGTAAAAGGCAGAATGACGCGTGCCGTTTTGTCGCATGAGGTTGTCCTGATCATTAAGGGTTTTTGCTTCACTCCATTTCTGCGCTTGTCTTTTGTGTGTAAGATTGGTACGGGGTCTGTAGCACTTGTGGTCCACATAATTGATGTCATTCAGAGGAATGTAACATTTCGAACACCAGTTTGTTGACCTGTGTGACGAAAACCCCGAAATCTTTTTCATTGCAGGAACATCGGCAAGAAGAAGACATACAGCCGCGGTGATAACTCTGCCTTTGGGATAATTAGCTGTGACACTAAAGAAAAAGCCGTTCCATAAGTCTGTAAGCTCAGAGATGAGGGGTTTTAATATTGAATCCATCTCTGAACTCTTCGGTTCTCGTCGGCTAGGCGTTATTCCATAGATGAACATGTTCTCAGCTCGGTATTGGATGTCGGGGGGTAAATTAAAACAGATCAGGAGCATTAGTCCAGCGGAATGTTGGCGTCCTCGTTTTGCTCCATAAGGGTCGAACCAATCACAATAAAATCCAAAGATGAGATTGCCAGACTTTTGCGTGAACACTTTCCCGTTCTTTTTGAAGGTTTTCCAAAGGGTTCCATCCCACAAATCTTGCAAAGTCCCTTCGGGCGGTTTGATTCGGTGTAGCAAACTGTCGAGCAGGGTCTCAAAAGATGGAGAATGTAGCATTCTCGCTAGCCATTCAACAAAGCTTTGATGGTAAAATAATTGAGCTGGTCGGGCTTTGGTAGAGCTTTTGCGGGGTGGTTTGTACAATTCAGCACCACAAATAAATTTGACTGTAGACGGCTTTGATGTGGAAAACCGTAGATTGTCGCATCGTGTCTTTGGAGGGGTTTGTCCAGCTGGTCCATGTAGGCAGAAACATACTTTGCAAGATATATGTTCGATGACCGGGGCGATCAAATGGAAAACTTTCAAAAGCTTCGGAATGGAGAGAGGAATTTCATTCCAGACAGGTGCAATTCCAGGGTTGTTCAAATTAAGCGATGTCTGTAACTTGAGACGCTCCATTTTGAGTGCGGTCCGAACCGCCTGCGAAGAACTATGATGTACAAGGTATTGGTTCAGAACTTGGATCATTGATTGAACACAAGTTGGGTGCTGAAGGAGTCTGCGGGGTGTATAGAATGCCTTGGTATCATATTGGAGTGGACGTGATTCGATAGGCATCATTCGCGCATTCTTTCGAGGGCGTGGAATATATCAATCTGAGAAAGCGAGGGGTGAGCTACAGGCCCAGGGGAATGAGCACGTTTGCGATTGGAAACAATTGGTTCCGGTTCAACAACACCCAAAAAACTCGGCGCAATAGGCCTGTCCAATGAAACTTCTGAGACTTGTTGAGCCGGTTTTGACGTGTCAGGGTGGCCTTTTTTAAGAGCTGCTTCCTTTTCCGAAACACTCAAATGCCGCGGAAAGTTAGTGCGGTGGAATAGGCGGCCTGTATGGGTCTCACCATGCTTTTGAAACTGCCGCTCTGAACATCCTAAAGCGAGGCAAGTACAGCGGATGTGATTGGGCCCAAAGGATTCCATTGAGGTTTTTGGATAATGATAAAGGAAGGGATCCAAAAATCGAAAATAGTTGGCTTCGAAAGTCCAGATGCAATTTATACAAATTGAAGAAAGTAGACTTTGCACGTGCACTGGGCTCGCTCTTATGTCTGTCTGACAAGCGGGGGTCACTAGTTGATAATCAGGTGATCGGAGGGGGTTCGTAAATGCCGAACGTTAGGCACTCATGCAAGTGATAAAGTGAGATTTTGAATGTCCACTTTGGACGCTCTTATGTCTGTCTGACAAGCGTTGTGGGGAGCCTGGTAAATCATCAGGTGAACGGAGGGGGTTCGTATGTGCCAAACGCAAGGTTCACTGATGCGAGTGATCAAGTGACCATTGATCACTCAAAAAAAAAGGTCGGACTCAAAGGGTCCATGCAGGCTCGAAGCCAACCCAAATGTTGCTGATTTGGAAGTTGGCTGCATTTTGTGTGTGATTGACTCGGCCAGTAATAGTATGGTGCTTGAATCGGCGTGAAGTGGTCAAAACGCAGAAAGATCTATTGATCTGAAGGTGTTCAAATCACGAGGTTGAGGGAGAGGGGTGATGGGATATTTTCTCAAACTCAAACATCAACTACTTGATATAAACATGTTGTGTATATGTTTTTATCACTATACACAACTATTCACATGTATACTTATTACTATTCACAGCTATTCACAACTATTCACAATGCACTAGAGGTTATGTACACGTTTGATAGATGAGACGGGGGAAAAGGTCTAAGGGGATCGTAAAATCACTGGGTGTTCATTGTGTGTGAGCCACTGGGTTCATTTTGTTGTTCTGCCGCCAACGCGGATAAGGACTTGAAGGTGATCTTGGCATCCTCGACGGCACTGTGTATATCCACAGGGTGATTTTCATTCAGTTCCAATTCTGATAAGACTAAACCTTCCTGCTGGTCATACCAGGATGGGGAAACCAGCAATTGCTGAAACCCCTTTGGAGGGAAGCGATCCTTGTTGGGGGTAGGTGAGTAGGTACCTCTTTCGACTAGTTGTTTTGCCAACCTTCTCTCTTTGGGAATCGTTTTGCGCTTCCAGTAAGCCGTGTCGAGCAAACCTATCAAAGTATCTAACTCTTGGCTGCGCCATTCAAGTCGTAATTTTTGACGGGAGCCGCAGTTGGTTGTGACTAGTTCATCTTCTGAATGAACTTCGGGATGAGATAACATCTTGAACTCGGGTGAGTCTGCACCAAAGAGTTTGACCGCCATATATAACCTGGCATCGTAGATCTGTTCCAAAGTAGTTATTCAGGATAAGTAGTTATGAGCATACCTTTGCAAATGACATTCGAGGAAAGAAAGAATACAACCCACCTTATTCATGTTTTGTTTTTTGCTTGAAATTCCTTTTGCAATCGAAATATTATCCTCAAGGATCTTCCGCCCTTCAGGAGTTTTTGTCAACGCAACCTTTCGAGTTTGGTCTTGAAACTTTGGAGCTTTGTTCCCACACCAACGGCGAAGCACTTCTTCCCGATTGGCAGGTGTGTTGTCTGTGACCAGGATACCGAACTCTCTTGCGCCGTTTGCTTCATATGCTTTCACCCAATGAGCCAAGATGATGGTTGCAGTCACTGAGTTCCAAGGTGAATCGTATGATGATTCCCAGTCAAAGGTACAACGAGGAAAGCCTGCCATGGCCAAGCTTGCCTCGCATGAGGTCACCCAATGGTGTGCATACCTGGTACGAATTCCAGTGAGGATGCGAGATGTGAAGATGACCGGCTGCATCGGACGTTTCAGGGATGCCATTTCTGCTGCGTCCTTCTCAACTACCCTTCGCTGCTTTTGGTTTGGTTTGAAGCCAGGTGGTTTTTTCGAAAGATATTTGGTCATTGCATGATCTTGTGCCTCCCGAATGAATATCTCTCTTCTCTGCCTCCGGGACTCCCAAGCTTGATGTTCGAGTTCAGAAGGTGGATCTGGCATCTTTTTTTCGCCGGCGTCTTCAAGAGCTGAAGACCCTCTTGATTTCCTTGGGATGCCCATGAGCATTCGGACGAATTCATGGATCGCTCTAGCCAGCGGTGTCGCAGCTTTAGGCACCGGATGATTGCCAGCGAGCTTCCCAATACCTTCATTCCGATGTCGAATCCGAGTGAGTACTTTGAGTTTTGCCGTTTGCTTTCGTTTTTGGTCCAGAACTTCTCCGTGCGTAAGTTCTCCATCTGAAGATCACCACATGAGCAAGACACTCCATCAAACTTCATACAAACGAGTATCCCAACAATGTAACTGATACACACCCGAATCTTCTTCATCAGATAAATCTTGTACTTCATCAAAGCGGTTGTCTTCTTCTGGAACGAATGGAAAAAAACCCAGTCAGACAACCATAACTCGTAAGTCACAAAACATGATTGTGATTGGTACATACCTTGACGTTCCTCCATATCCCCTTCACGACGACGTTTTTTCCCAGCCCCACCGGCGTTCGGAGTGTTCTGTGTACAGGTTTGTTGAGAGCTCATAGTTGAATTTATAAATACAATACAGATAATGAAGCGAAAGTGATTTCTTTGGGTGAAGAGAACTAATATGGGTCGATCTACCTTGACCCCAAGTTTGTGAAAGAAAAGAGCGCAGACTAATGCTTCAAGATAGAAAAGAAAACGGTGCAAAAGTGTTGCCAGAAAGATAAACTGCAGAATGATGCTTCAATATAGAAAAGAAAAGGTTGAAAAAGTGTTGTGTTTCAATCACCAGAAAGAGAAAGTGACATAAGAGCACACTCTAGAAAGGAAAAGAGTTCATTCAAGATATATGAGAATCTTTTTGGACCAACAGACAGACACGTCAAGTGCCGCCACCCCCTCCACCGTTTGAACACGCACAAACATGACCTCATTACCCGTATTTTTTTGCATTTATTGCATAACACCTATTGAACAACCCAAAAAGACGTTGAAGGGTCTCTGTACTCAGTTTCTGGGTCAAATGATGTATCTGAAGAGATGCTTCAGAGCCAAATCTTTGGCTTATCAAACCCATCTCAGACATCGGGTTCGGGTTTGACAGTATCTTACACAGTAATCTCCAAGACAGAGAACTCCGGCAGAGACCTGTGTCTTCTGGGTTTTGGGCAGCCAAAAGTTAAAACCCAGTCTCACACCGTTTCCAAAACTTTTAACTGCCACGCTAGGCATGTCCATCATCGACTGTTACGCGGGAACAGTTGGGGTTTTTTCATTTCCCCGCAATAAAGTAAGCGAACCATGATCATTGCCAAATTTTGCAACAGAAGAAGCACGCAAGTACATGATAGTGGTCACCAAACTGGGCAAGATCTCGCGTTGCTGGTACATCGTGACGCAGAGTCAGAATTAGTTCGACCGGCGGAAACAATGCAGGGGAAAACATCAGCGGGGAATGTGTTAAGATAGGTGTTCAAACGACATTGTACCCACCACTATCGTGAACCGCCTAAACTATGCTCATTCCGAGCTATTGAAGGACAGCACTTTCGACGGGAGGTATAGCCGCGGGGGACTCTTCAGCTTGTGAATGATTTTGAGAGCCCGTGTCAGCTTTCGAATGTTTTTGACAGCCCTGTGAAGTCTTTGGCCCTGGCATGCCGTAGTTTTTTCAGCGACATGGCCACATAAGTTGATTATGTTGGCGCCTCAAGATAACTACTTACCAGCAGCCTCTATCGCGTCTAGGGCAGCGACCTCCTCAATAGTCATTGAAATGACCGGTGTGTCATCGTGGTACTCTAACAGATGGCAAACAGAGAACTCAGATAAGCAACCATTTGAAAGAGGAGCCACCAGGGCGCGTACCTGCAACAGCTTTCGCGAGATCTCTGGGGGACATGTTGAGCACATCAATACTGTACTTCTTTCCGTTTTGGACTCGGCGCCAATCGGGGTACGGTAAGGCTTTTTTGGGTTTATCTCCTTTTGGAGTGTGGTTGAGATTAGTGGTGCAGCGGACTTTTAAGTGACCGAAACGACCACAGCGGATGCATTGATCCAGGCCCTCCTTGACGCAATGATGCGCTGATGTGGAGATCTTCCATGGAACCATTTCAGACTGGGTGCGTTTGTCTAGTTTGGCAAAGTTTGCCGACGTAGGGATCTTTACGTTGCGGATGGGTGACATGCTGGGAATTTCAGTGGGTGTTTGGAATTGGCACTGTTTTGGTATTGATGATAAACTTGTCGAAGTTGTTTGCTTTGAAGCAAAAGGATCATGAACGCTTTGGAAGGTTTTTTTGAACAAGATGTGGATAATGAAAGTATATATGAACAATCAATTTCCACGACCATACCCTAACAACAACCATATCCTAACATCCAACATATATCCTAACGTGCAACCAATCTTAATTGTGAGACAAGAATATAAACACAACACTCAATATGAACAAGTGAGAGGTGTGTTTATATTCTTGAGATATGTCTGGGTTTTGGGGAGCAAGGTCAATGCGGCAGCGGGTCAAACCTTTATCTTTGTCTTTTACCTTGGCACAGCTTTGTGTTAAGCCTCCCTCAGTTTCAAGTTACAAATAGACGCAGCGAGTCCAAACTTCAGATAATGGAATTTCAGCATTCAAGACAAAAATTTGACATGTGTGGTAGGAGAGTGAACAATACAAGATGTATGTATAAGATATGAACTCTCAGTCTCCCTTTACAAACCACCGCACTTGAAAGAAAAGGAGCAGGCGTGCATAAAACCACCGCACTAGAAAGAGAAGGACGCGGTGTGTATAAAACCACCGCACTTGAAAGAAAAGGAAAAGGACCAGGCGTGTATTTTGATTGAAGATAATATAAATGAGAAACTTTTGAAGAGCGATAAGTGCATTGCCTACTCGTGTATGATTACCGCTCCATTGGTTTTGAACGGCGCAGGATGCTTGATCTTTTTATATTCAAGATTCACCGTTAGCCTTTCTTTTTCAGCTTATTGTCTCAGTATCAAAGAAGTTAAATTACAAACCTGTAGCTGATATCGCAAGTACCTCACACTTCCGCTTGGAAGGCAGATATAGAGTCAGGTGCATCATTTAGGCTCGCATCATTTGATAAGCCTTTGTTTTGAGTTTCTCCCAACTGTCCTTGCAAAAGCTCAAGCTTGTCATTGAGGATTTTGATGTCGTTCTTTGCTTTACTCAACTCCTCCAAGCGCAAGGGGACTACGCCGTTCAATTCATTATGGAAGTTTGAGAAAATCGTGAAAGATTTCTCAAAGTCTCCTCGCAGAGTGGTTATTTCAGATTGCAAGCGATTTTCAATATTTTCAAGTCTAGTGTTGGTAGCAGTTGCGGTTTCTAAAGTATCATCGTCATCTTCGTCCCAGATCTCGTCTTCGGAGATGTTGTCGTCACTTGAGTAATGCTCGTCGGTGATGCCGTCTAAAGAATTTTGGGCAAGATCGCCGGCATCGATTGGAAAGATGGACGCCATGTTTTGAATCTTGGGCAATACCGAAGGTTTCATTTTCAGATCCCATAGATCACCGAGTGGCAAAGAGTCCTTGAGTTCATTGCTGTAGAGGTCGGCAGGCAGATGACAAGGTATGAAACCGTATTCTGTTGACAAGCTCTTGACGTATTGGCAAGGAGATCGGCGGTTGACGGCAAACATATTGCGGGACTTGGCGTGAAAGTCCACACGTTCCTCGATGTATCTGATGAAGCAAATCATTTTCTTTGACCACCACTGAGGTATCACGTAATGTACCTCCCTAACAGGATAGACCCTAGTCAGGGATTTGAATTCAACTATATCACCCATGATCAAGTAATTACGAGGTTGGAAAATTGATGCCAAGGGTTCCGAAACGCCTGTTTTGACCAAGTAAGACAAGTATTCGTTGAAGACCTGTTTTTAAAAGTGCTTCAGCAACTTAACCGACCAAAACAACAAGAAATGACCAAAAACTTACCTTCTTTTTTTTGGCTATTATGTAATGATGGTTGAGGATTTCGTTACTGCTGCATTGCTCATGATACATCAAAGACAAGTGTTTGAATTGAGCTGCCAATACTGGCATGGTGATAGCTCGCCTGAGCATGTGTTCGCTGATTGTAAAGCTGTAATGCCTGTTTTTATAGCTTTGTAGAATGAGTTCCAGAAAAGTTCTTGGGCCAGATAATTAACACGGTCTTCCAAAGGAACCTCCCATTTGAATGAGAAACGACGAAGTCCCCAGCGCTTCAGCTCCATTTCAACATCCTCAAAATGGTTGGGGCTCATGTGAACGCCGGTTTTCACGAAGTCGGTAACAGAAAGGACTGGAATAGATTCGCCGTGAGGAAGAGGATCATAAAGCTGGAAGCGTTCCATCAACTCTTTTTGCTCAAGCTTGGACAGGGATGGTGGAACGGGTGATGCCTCTGAGTCACGACACATCAACACTCGAAGATGTCTCCGGACAACCGACTGAGAGACAAGGTTTGAGATGATCAGCGAGGAACTTATACACGGTTTGAATAGCAAAAAACACACATGGACTTGGGTCATATCATATTTGGACTGAGTGCCGAGTGCTTCAATTTGACAAACACTACGAGCCCATCTCTTGACACCCTTTGATTGGATTGGAGATAATTTGTGCGGGATAGTGATCATTTTTGATATAGTCTTAGGAGATAAGTAAAATAGTTGTTATTCAACTAAAGCCGGGCTACAAGTGGTGTTTGCTCATTGGACAATAACCACGAAAAGACACCCTATTTATAGCTGTTCTTTACAGTAGTTGCGTCTGATCACAGCGTAAGCAGATCGAGCGGCTAATGTGAGCACTGAGAAACCACCCACACCTCACAACATCCCGGCGAGAGGTGGTTTTGGAGACCAAAGCTTTGCGAGACTTTTTTATGACATCAACCACAAGTCTCGGTTACATCCGAGACGCTTCCTTTGTGGATAGTGAGCAACTATCAAAGACCATGACTCATTATGACCTTCTTACGAGTCTCGGTTAGATCTGAGCCGCTTTTTGTAAATATGTCAAGTTGTGTATGCAGGCAACTGCAATCATAAATATCGGGGAGCATTACGAGACAATCACTTTGGAGGTGGACATCCCAACCGTTGCGTTTGGAACAAATTATGACTCTTTATAACGTTCCTTACAAGTCTCGGTTAGATCCGAGCCGCTTTTTGTAAACATGTCAAGTTGGGTATGCAGGCAACTGCAAGCATCACTTTCGGGAAGCATTAGAGACATAGCACATTACTTTGGAGGCGGACATCTCAACCGTCGCGTTTGAACAATTTACCAGTATGAATGAAACAGCTATGTTAGGTGGTTGTGGCGGATGGAAATGTATGTTATAAATTGGGCAGGTAGAAAGAGAAGTGAGTTAGCTACAAAGTGACTGAGCTTTGCGTGATCAGTACCTCCCATTGTCACATATAGCGTTGAGCGGTGGAAGTTGGAACACAGTCGACTGCCTATGTCTGGAAAACGTCTCACTTTCACAAAGGAAAGCCTGTCTGTATTGCCAAGACCTGTCCGAAGAGTGAATCAACGTCGTACGAGATGTCATTCGTGTGTGCCCGTCGACGAGCTCATGGGAGATATCCGTGGTGTTAGGTAGTGAAAAGCATCCGTCTGCAAATTCCACTATGTTGGACCCACTTGAAGGCTTGAAAACATAGACTACACTTGTAGCCTCAAGGTGACCAAAAGTAGCCAAAAGTCCATTGATTCTTTGGTGATTTTGGTGGGGCAGTGTCAATTGCTACGTTTTAGGTGAGATACCTAAAACTCATGACCAATGATTGCTACGTTTTTGGTCAGATGGCTTGCCACTAATTTTTCCAAATTTCTACGTTTTTGACAGATACATCGCCAAAATTTTAGCCCAAATTGCTACGTTTTTCGACAGGCCCCTCGGTAGGAGCACTCCAGGGTCCTCTTTAGTGGCTCTCAAACCTGCCCCGGTTTTCAAAAAACCCAGTTGACCCAGTTGCTTTTTGGCGGTAACTTTGTGTATCAAGTTGACATTTGTTGACAGCTCCCAGCCAAAAATTCAACTGGGGCAACCGGGTTTTTTGAAACTGGGTCAGGTTTGAGAGCCACTTTTCCTTTCGAGTGTGTCGAGAAGTCTGGGGTGGTGAACCGAAGGGAAAGCTGACTTTACGTCAGCAAACATGGCTCCTACTATATTACCTTTGGCCCATTCGCCTCGGATGAACGCAACTAGATGAACTAGCGCTTCTTGGCTGGACCGATTAGGACGTCCACCATAGTGGCCGTTGTTGAGTAATTTGAGTTTTTCAACCTGCTGAGATAGGTGCGTGGTGATGATCTTCTCGTATAGTTTGCTTATTGTGTTCAGTAGAGCGATAGGTCGGAAGGATGATGGTGAGGTGTAGTCCGATTTTCCCGGCTTGGGGATCCGTCGATAAGTGAAGACACGTCGGCATCGAGGAAGTCAGAGTTGTGGACTTCTGTGACCTGTCTGTGCGAATTTTGTCCCACCCATGTCAAACAAAGCATAATGATTTACAAAATGTCAACTCCGCCAAGCGAGGCTATTTTCATTCATGTATATTGTACATGTGTACAACTTTTCATTTCAAATTGAAACTTGAAGGCCATGAAGTCTCGGCCAATACGGCAGACATTCCCTTCCGTATTCCCACATTCCTTGTGACTTCCGCTTCAGATATCTTCATACTCATTTGAGTTCTTGAAGCCTGAGTTGCCTTCAAGCTATCAAAGAGTGGGTCAGCGAGAATGGCGGCCAATCCTTTCGAATCTCAGTTACAGGAAATCGTGAGCTCCTCCCTGTCCGCAAGATATCTGAAAACCAAACTCAAAAATCACTGACTAACTCTATTATTCGAGCTCTCTAGACAACATTCTTACATCCGCAAGCGCCCTTTTGGACCAACGCAATTCTAATCTTCTTTGCTATCTGGAGAAGCATGGCCATGATCAGCTGCGTGGCAATCGTCCTCATCCCGTTCTACAAAGGCTCTGCGAGTCGCGAAAAGCATTCTTGGCTGTTCCGGAGGCACTATCTTTCAGGTGAGTCAATTGTTATCTCTCGCCTCCATGACATTGGATCAGAGCGCTGAAAATTCGACATGAACATCATCCAATGTGGCCCTCAACATAGGTGGTTCTTCGATCCCGTACCTCGTGCCAAATCGTAGGTGAGTACATCTCTCTGATTATCTCATATCGCAGCTGAGAGCAAAGAATGTGTCATAGTATGATTCTCGGTCTGTGCGAGTTTGTGTCCAATTGCCTTTACTTGACGTTATCAATGATATCCTACGTGGTGAGTTATGTGTATTGGATTTGGTGTCGGTGGCGGAATATTGCTCATTTACCATTCATATTCCACTTAAAAGTACTTCTCCGGCAACCGTGCACATCGTATGGAAGAGTTGATGTCGGTTTGGTAAGTGGGAGTTCTTTGCTATACTATACTCATGCGTTTCATTGCCGCAATTTAACGTTTTTTTCTGTGTGGTTGATTAGGTATGGTATCGCGTACGTATCTTCTTATTCGAAACACGTCTTCTGAGGTCCATATTCAACAATTCTGATTTGGCAATCTGATGGATTTGTGAACGCGCATATCAATTCATAATCCAGAGTTCTACCGTACGTTGAAGATTCATCATCCGAAAGTTCGAGAGCGGCAGACGCTGAGATCATCTTATTTTCAGTTCTTATCTCGGAATTTCGCTTGCAGCTTGGAGTCTCGTCTATGCGTGGTAAGTTCTGTCTCGCATCCAAGATGAAATCTGGCAGTATATCACCTCCAGGTGTATGCGCGAATCATCTTCTGACTCCTTTCCACGTACTAATCTTGATCTTCATAGTCTTTGTGATGTGCAGGGTCCCAATAGGGGACGGGTAGCTCGGATTTTGACGCCGGCTGTCTATGACTTGGCTTGGATGTCTTGGTTGCTCGTCATCATTCTCATCACATTATATTTGGCATCAGCTGCTGGAGAGGTAGAGGTTTCGACCTTTGAGTTGGCATACTCATTATCAGCAATGCTCGAGAGGGCAGACAAGCTATGGGATGCGGGCCAAACCTTATCTAAACCATCTGCCGCAGATCTGCTGGCTCGAACTGATGTAGTACTCGCCCAAGTGAAGCTTTTATCTACAAAATTCCGGGAGTGGGGATGTGTTTGGATCATCTTAGAGATCTTCTTGGCAATTGTGAGTCGAAAGGACATTTTCAAAATAATCAATATCACTGAGAAAAATCTTTGTCTCAAATTTTCCCATCGCAGTTTTATGTATTCACTGCATGCTATTTGCTTCAAATTGTTAAAAGACTGTTGTCGTCGCGTGAAATCGAAAACCTGTCGCGCCCTGGGGCTTCAATGGCTCGAATCGAATTGGAGCAAGAGTTTAGTGAGTCTATTGCAGATGATACACTTGAAAATTGGAAACTGGAAAACTCAAAACAGTGAAAACTTAACATCTATTCTCTCATACCATGTTCGACTTGTTCTCAGAGTTCCTCGGTAGGTCATGTCTGATCATATCAATCACACTAGGACTTGACATTGGCGCGGCTATATTCACAACGCTGTATAGTTCGCATCTTGAAAGGTCAGTCCAGTGCGATTACCAGCTACCGATAAGATGACCAACGACTTGACGCTTCATCTTTGAACACATAAGACCAATATGGGTCACTGCCGAAGCCCTTATCTGTCATATTCCGGGCCTTTTCATGTCACCTATTCTTCTTTTCCAGTCGGTAAGCAGATCTCTTGGGCAAGACAAGCCAACGCAAACAAAACTGACTCAAGTCTTCGCCAATTCTGTGTTTTCAGTGGCGAATCTTAACCGGGAACAACGTAGCTGAAGACTCAGAGTTTCACGAAGCGACCCAGTCTCCTCAGACAAGATACGTTCTTGACTTACCCTCACACCTTCTCGGATGGAACACCGCCTTGGCGTGGTCTCAATACGAACCTAACAAAGAGATCGACAACTTCTCTGGCCTTTGTCGAGATGACTCGATTGAAGGAACACCAGATCTTGAGAAGCGACCAGCTAGCCAGATGTCTATATCTAGCCAAATGTACATCACCCGATCCATCACCACCATTCACCATGAGAAGGACGATAGAGATGATGAAAGTAAAGGCGTCGCGGCTCGTCCGAGGAGATATGCATGAAGATCGTTGAATCAAAACAGGTAGTCATCTCGTTTCAGGACACCTCTTCGACAATTGTGTACGTATGGAATTCACAAATATATCTACGAGCTGCTTAATCATGTAAACCCTTTACGGGCTCTGGGGTTTCCCTTGCGGCTATTGTACCTATCCTGTATGAATACTTTTCCTGTCACAATCTCATAACTCATTCTCACCATTCCTTTATATGGTTGACTGTGGTCTCTTGAGTCACTTTTGATTCACTGCATTCCTTTCTGACATCTTCATGCCTCAGCTCATATCAAACTCTAATCGTTTTTTACATTGGTTAGTTGTGATATTCATTTATTGGTTAGTTGTGATATTTATTTATTGGCTAGTTGTGCTACTCATATATTGGTTAGTTGTGATATTTATTTATTGGTCAGCTTGTTACATCATTTATCTGAGGCATGTTTGGTGACACATTATTAATTGAAGCTGGAGTTGCACTGCGATGGATTTGTTTTACCACTCAAAATGCCTGCATATCAACAATTTGGAAATCTGTGGGGATATGAAATCATAATCTTGCACAAAAGAGTGATTGATCTGACAGCTTTTGAACTATCACCAACTGTCCCAGTCTGAACCTATATAGCCACATCTCTTCCTTCTCAATGTCATGAGCTGCCAATCAACATTGACAAAATCACAGATTGACTCATGGAGCTGACAACACAAGGATGATGTATTTCTCACATGGTGAAAAATGATTGCATGTATGGAAAAAAGATTGAGCAAAAATCGTTTTTGAAATTGAGGGATCAGTTTTGGCCCAAAATTCTTTTCTCTCAAAAAATGAGGGGAAAAATACAATGCCATCTGTCTTGCAACTTTTTTTTTGGAGTTGCTTGAAGCATTTTACTCAGCATCAACTCAGCAAGAGTACTTTTTCTGGTTTTTGAGAGCTCACAGGAGTTCAAAAAATTCAGACAGCTCTGGACAGAGCAGGAATGCCCTTTGTGATGTGTGGTGTTTTTTGTAATTTTATGGTGCCTTCATCCTGGATAGATGCAAGGTATAACATCAAAAGTTGTTCTCTGTTTGCCTCGTAGATTGCAGATGAATCTTGGGACACAAAAGCATAAAGATTTGACAGATTTGCTATAGAAAATGTCCAAATAATGTAACATCCTTGTTTGTGATGCAAAACCCTTTTTTGGGTGGTTTTGGAGTCTTGTACACCACAAACCCCCCCAAACGGGGTTTTCACTGGTGACACTGCGCAGTGAAAAAACCGCAAACATTTGCAGACATGATTCGTGAAAATCTCGGGGTCGTACAACCGGAGTTAACACTGCGCTATTTACACCAGTGGGAACTTGACCATAAACCGGTGAAACCCCAGTTAGGTCCCTCTCTTTAGTGGCACATAATGCGCCGCATAGCAGACCACGTTTTTTGAAACTCTGTTCTAGGTTCACATCAACAGTGGCACAATTCATTGAACACATCCAATAATTAGCGCTTAGCGCTTTTATTACCAAAATACAAAATAAACAATAACAAAACCAATACAATGAAATAGATAAAAAGATAAAAAGATATATAAACAATAACAAAACCAATACAATGAAATAGATAAAAACATCAACTTGAGCCTTCAAGGCAGGACTTACAAAGTCCCAATTGATCGAAAAAATGAATAAGAAAGTAGTCTAATAAGATAAGAGAAATAAAACCATCTACATCAATCACCTCAGTACTTACTCTTCCTCTTCTTCTTCTTCTTCTTCCTCTTCTTCTTCCTCTTCCTCTTCCTCTTCCTCTTCCTCTTCATCTTCCTCTTCATCTTCTTCTTCCTCTTCTTCATTTGCCACCTCTTCTCCCACTTCGTAAAGTTCTTCATCAGGTCCTGCTGCCTTGTCTCCAAAGGAATCGTCAAGGCCCGCTATAGTATCTTGAATCTCTTCCTCAGTAGGTAATGCAAACTTAGTTATTGCTTTCAACTCTTCAAATGTCCTCTTTCCGTTTATGAATAAGTCTGTTTGTAAGACCAGAACATAGAATCTGTTTACAAGACTAAGTCAGTTGCTATGGATGCATAAGTAATATGGAAAGAAAGAGAAAAGATCCATACGCATAACAATATCTTGATGATTCGCTGCGCAAGTGCTCCAGAGTCTGGTCCACCACGTTCCACAAAGTCTTCGTCTTGTACGTCGAACGGTTTAGCCCCCAATGAATGAATTGTATCCTCTGAATTTCATTCAATTAAGCAAGTCAGTGGGATGGATTTTAAATAGAAGGAAAAAACTAATATGATATAACATACTACCCAGGCATGGCGACCAACTTGAAGATGTCCAATGTCGGACATGATCTTTTTTGGAGACACTATACTGCCTCCAACATATCCATGCTCTTTTTGATAGAGCTAATCCAAACTTGGTTAGAACAAAAAAAGCCAAAATTGTGAGTTGAACGGAGACTCACTTTAACCATAATCTCATAGATGCTTGGTACAGCACCATCACTGGTGATGATGGATCGATCTGGAAGCTGAATGTTTTTCAGGAGCTATGGTCTCCAATTGAGATAGTCAGCCCATTGAAAGACAAATTATAGTAGTAGAAAAATATCTTACCGTGCATGAATGGTCTTTTTGGACTTCCTTCAACACTGTCTTGATGACCTGGTGGAAAACACCTGACACTGCTGGGTTCGGATCCTTTCCATAGCGAGGTGGTAACATCTTCTTTTTCCACGCGGTGCGAGTTGACATTATCTCGGTCTGGATAAATCATTGCATCATTGTTCATATTTTAATCTCGTGATGACAGATTACAAGACTTACCATGACTCTTGCGTACAGAGAGTGAGGGAGGAGCTCTTTGGTCCCTTTTTTGTTGTTGGTTGCTGTGTACGCCTGAATATCACCTTTGAGGATGCACTTTGTGGCCCAAACGCGCAAACATTTCTGAACCCAGGAAGAGGAGAGAGAATTCTGTAGTTATTTTCATGGTACAGAGTGGAATATTGAAATACTTACTTTCAGCTCTTTACTTTCTTTCCAACCAATAGCCCCGGATGCAATCTTGGTGAGCTCTGATTGAATTTCTGACATTTGTTTCCTCACCTCCAAACGGAAGATTTCTTTCTCTTGACGTTCAGCCAGGACGTTTGCCATCATGGTCATGAACTGCTCTTCGGTAGATTCAACCTAAAGCAAATAATGATAGTTAGATCGACAATGGAAGAGAAAGAGAGAAAAAGATGAATATAATAATGTCACTTACATTGCAGAGTGTGCAGCCAATGAAACAATGCTCCGTGTCAAGGCCAACACGGGTGGCAACTCGATTGTAAGTACCCACTTTGGCACAATTCATGTGCGTTGATTGGCTCTCGGCAGTGATCGCGTTGGCTTGGGTCCGAATTGCTTGGATAGCCAGGTCCGCGGCTGTCTGGCTGCCCACTCCTGTGTCGCTTTCAGAATCGCCGCCACCGTTATTACCTTCATTGCCTTGTATGTTGAAAAAATTGGATCAGTATGGCAAAATAAATATAACAAGGATGCAATGACTTACCTTCATCATTGTCTTTGATATTTATTGAAACAACTGGCTCAGTATATGAAACAAAAAAGAAAATGAATCAGTAAGATATAATAATGAGAAACTTACCGGTATTGTGTTCAGAGTCGTTGAAGAAATCCAAGTCCTCTTGTCTGAATAATTCAGACTCGCTGGGAGGTAAAGGACTATCTACGTGAGCAAGTTTTGATTTGGTGGCTTTTGATTTCGAAGCTGGAGCCGGAAGTTTGGCTTTCGAAGCTGGAGCACGAGCTGGAGGTGGTGGAGGAGGTGAAGGAGGAGCACGAGCAGGAGCTTTTGATTTTGGAGCTGGGGTTTTGGCTTTTGATTTCGAAGCTGGAGCTGGAGGAGCTGGGGTTTTGGCTTTTGATTTCGAAGCTGGAGCAGAACGTTCGCGTAAACCACGTCGCTCGGTAAACCGAAGAACCAGGGGATCGACTGATAACCCCCTGATAACTGTGATAAACCTCCACACAGCCATGAAGTATGGGTTTCTGTCAACCGTACAGTCCTCAGATTCCCAACCACATTCTCCAGTATGGGACTTACGGCTAGGCGGACAAAACCTTTTGTCCCTTACCTCATCGCTCAGAAACCGGCCGGCTCAATTGTGGGATCATGGATGTCACCAGGTGACATGATTAGACATTCAGAACGCGTGTCCATCTATTGTCCCCACGCTGAACCCTCCTGCCACCACCTATTCCCTTTCTCCAAACTAAACGTCAACCAACCTCAACGTATAACATCAAAGATGCTTCTCCGAGATTTCACCATCCAACTCACTCATCAGTCACCCCACCTATCCGCAACACTCACGGTGGCGGACTTTGTCCGCTTTGCTTCCCTTGCTGCCGAAGTCGACTATCGTGCAGGTACTTCCTTACGGCTCACACCCACCCGGATTCCTGTGCTACCATTCCTCGAGGAGGCTCTATCTGTCCATTTTCCGTCCAATCTTTGGGACGACCTGTGGCGAATCTCTTTCCCCATCCTACACATGTGTTGAATCAATCCAACCAACTCGATCCGCGACCTAGGGCTCCAGCCCAATTTTACCACCAAAATACCCGAAAGATTCCTACGCACCCCTCTGTCACACTGCCTCATATGCCCAAAGGACAATCCCCGTCCTTTACACGTACACTCGCGTCTAAACGGATACCTTCACGACATTGATGGAGTACACCCTGTGCAGACTATCATCTTAAGTTGCTCAAGTACGTGACCTCTACGCTTACTCACAGTTACCCTTTGCTCTCTCACTGACCTCCTCCATATCAGACCCAAAATGCGATACTATGTATCGACCCAGTTATTACAGCCGAGACAGTGCTCAATACTACTACACCAACGAAATGGGGCGAGATGTTGATTATCTACATATCAACTGTCACTACTACATGACTACACGACTGGCGTACATGTTCCGGGTGCTCCAGATGCTAGCACAGTAAGTTGAACACCTTTCGCATCACTGTTCTGAAAGAATGCAACTGACGGTGAATGTCATTTGGAATGAAAAGTGTCTCTCATTTCAATCTTGTAAACTGGTTCAACATGGTATTTGTAGATGACACTCCAGCTCAACTTTTCGCACCAGACCAGTTGTTTACCCCATCAATGTCCGAGGAAGAATGTCGCCACGGCCTTATGCTTCACTCATTAATCAAACATGCGGATCGAAGAGGTACCACCCTCATTGTCAGCTCAAGCGGAATAGACAAAATCCGGTTCGAGTCAGCAATTGAAACCCACTTAGAACAACTACTAATCGAAGGAACCAAGTATAGAGATCATTACTGCTCTACTTGTGTCCGATTGTTACCAGACGGCGTTGATCCAGTCAGTGGCGAAGGTTTTTATAAATGTGAGTGCCACCTTCCATCATTCTCGACTATAGTTGTTTCGAAAGATATTAATTTTTACATTTCTTTCAATTGGATCACAGCCATCCGCGCGGTAGTGACCGATGGCTTGACCATCGGCCACTGGCGATGCAGTGCAACGACGGAGCAACTACGGGAAATTGCTCAAACATCTGGTCGGCCATTGCCAGAAGGGCCATGCACTCGAAAACTTGCCAACGTGAACGACCGGTTCTGCCCAGATCATTTCACGATCCTGGGTGGTCAATGCCGAGCTCAACCCTGCCCAAAACCCGCTGCTACCGATCGTGAAACGTGCGACGACACCGAGCACATCAAACAGTGGGCCGACTTCAAAAAACGTGTTCAAGGAAACTTCTCACTCACGGCCATCCTCAACCGCCCCGGGTCGAACCTTCACCCCGATCCTACGCCTCATCTAGATGCCGAAACAGGCGAGTTCATAGACCTGGAGAGCTTGCAACAAGCTGATGAGTCCCAGCGAGCGCACGAAGCCGCGCGCGACGGCGGCCAATCACAGGCCGCTGGTAAATACGTGCTGTCAAGAAGCCGCACCCATAACGACCAGCTGATCGTAGCACCCTGTGGGATTGTTTTGGCGCGAAAGACTTTCTACCACGCTGAATCCGTCAGTGCAGTCAAAGTGAGTTTGGATTTCCGAAAATTCTATATCATTATTCTACAATTTGCAAATGACTCAACCTTCCCAACTGTGATTCTGGATTGCTGGTGTCCCTGTTGCTGACTTTGGTTTATCACATCATCACAGGATTTTCTTGAGGAAACCTTCCCACGCGGCATGCCGGAAGTGGTGTTTTATGATAATGCTTGCAGGTTAACTGAGCACATTTACACCGGGGATTCTGACCCATCCCGTTTCACCGGCACTGTCATTCCGGTGGACCCGTTTCACCACCGATCTCACGCTGAAACGGATGAATTTTGCAAAATGTTTACCGACCCGAAACTGTTTCCCGACATTCAAGAGGATGGTCGATGGATTTTCAATGCATCCGCGGCAGAGCTGACAAACATTTGGTATGGCGCGTTTGCTTCAATGTGCCGTAACATGTCGTCACTTGCGTACAATTTCTTCTTGGAAGAAATGGTTTATTTGAGAAATAAATGGCTAACAAACAAACTGCACAAGCGAGCTGGGGTGGTGTATATTGGGGAGGGAGCCCTCTAGTTTCAAGTGCACTTGATATTCCAATTGATATGCATATGTTATGCCTAAACAAGCCTCTCCCACAGTTTCGTATGCACAACTGAATACTGTATGTTAAGATGATGGATGATATTATACTATCAATTTTATTGTTAGTATTGGCTGAAGTCTCCTTACGATGATGGATGATAATATATATCCTTTTGATTTTTACTGATGTATTTCTACGAGAAACAAATATGATTAAGGTAGAATATGTGACCATTTTTTGATAAGTACATGATATTTGATCACTACAAGAGTCATTATAGTTATATATGACCAATTTCCTAAGTCAAACTTTCCTACGCCCTTTAGGTCATGTTGGGTAAAAGGCTTTGGAACCCCCTTAGCCTGAGAGATGCCATGCAGTCATGGTGTAGTGGTATATGCTATTGACTTTGAGGAACCTTGAGGTGTGCACCTGGGTTCAATTCCCAGACCCAGTGCATGTTTCCATCAGCAGGAAAACTGGAGCTTTGGCTTGTCACAGACCACACTGATTGTTGTTCCTGGGTTTCATGGATAGCTTCTGCATAACTTGAAGTGTGCCCCTCAAACTTTTTGTGCCTTCTCTTGTATAAATCTTTGTATTTTTTTTTGCGCACATCTGGCAAACAAGGTTTGGGCATAACCAGCTTTCCAACTACTTACTAACAGGCAGATTATGTGTACATGACATGAATATGTTGCTAACCTGACATCCACTTATTTGATCTCTGAAGACCTGCACTAGAAGTTACCAATCTTACCAATGTCCAAGAAAGACATTGGCCAAAAGGTGAAGACTGCACCCATAGGTGCATTTTGAGATTTGCACTTATTGATGTAGTCTTGATGCTTGTATTTGAGTGTCTCAAACAATCATGATGCCAAAAAAAACATTTTGCATTGTGCATGTCACTGACTACTGTGTGTTGATCATTGCTAAGGACTTGATATCTCCAAGAATGTTAACCTTTGTGTTTTTAGTTGTCAGCGTATGTGATGCAATCATAAGTGAAATCCATTTGGATGCCCCTGGTACTTATCTAAATAAAAATTAAATAATAATACCCTCCAATCAATGTAGGAAATCAACAGAATTCCTACAGAGTCTATTCCTTTTTGCATCTTGTTCATAAACTTTACCAGATCAGGGTAAAATTCCAATTCATACTGTTGCTCTTGGAATTGGATTTCATTCAAAAAGTAAGCTGCCTGGTCATGCATTCCAGTCATTAATCCAATGGAAAGCATGAGCCATCATAAAATCACCCTACATGTTTGCCACCAAATAATTTATATTGTAATTCTTCAAGATAAATTATTTTTGAAAAATGTTCAAATAATGTTCATATTTCAACATTAACAACATACTTTGGTCAGCACATCAATTGTAACCCATTGATGTGCTGCTCTATCTTGGTGATTTGATAGCCAGCCCTAAGTATGTGAAACTGTACATTCATTAGAAACATATTACAGATCCATTGATCCACCTTTACAAAAGAGTAACCATGTAACTTAACCCAAAAACTGTGTCTAACACACTGGTTATTATCTGTCTGCCTAACTGACAAATACAAGTTATAAACTATCAAACAAAGTGAAGAGCTCAAAGATGTTCTTCTGCTGAGTGAAGAACTCAAAGATGTTCTTCTGCTTAGTGAAGAACATCTTTTGATTCAGGCAAATAAGGAAGGCCAATACTCAATCTGATTACTCCAGATCATAGCTTGCTTGGACTATCTTTGGAAGCCAACCAAAGAATGATTATCAAACCTTCATAATAAGAATTTTATGACACAAAGCATTTACAGTTTTATCTACAACATATACACATGATTGCCAATTGACTCATGAAAGATGAAAGATACTCGCACCGAGGGGGCTACAATCATGATTTTAAATGCCAATGGGTTGAAGTCCACACAACCTTCTACTTCTCCTCCGCGAGGGTCCTTGAGGATTGGCCAGAATGGTCTGGATTTCTGTAGCCTGTGAAATGTGAGTCAGTGGCGTAGGATTGAAGCACAGAGTAAAATCGAGTAGATTGCTTACTTGGATGTCCCATGTGTGGGCAGGTTCTACATAAGAAACAACAAGACCGCGCAAACTGATGAGGTTGCCTACTTCAAGAGCTCCCATCGTTAGCGTTGAGGTGATGTTGGTGCTCAACAAATAGTTTGCGTAGAATTCCACACGTTGTGTTTGCTGTTATGCAATGCATGGATCAGTATCTTCTATACTCAGTGGTATTTGGGTATGGATTGCTTACGGTGGCATTCCAGCATCGATGCAGAACCTTGATGACTTCGATTGGTAGTCCGGTTGTGCGCCTTCTGGACCACTCCACTATTTGACCAAGGCCTTGCGCCAAGACTTTGTTAATGCGACAGTGGGGGAGGACTTCGGCATGTTCGATTTCAAGAGTGGTGGCGAAGTCCTCCATGAGCATAGGGAGGTCATCAGGACCCCATACCGCGACTGGTGCGTCAAGTCTGTAGGCGTGATGTTCCTGTAACTCACTCTGATCTCGCCTGGCAGCGATCTTCAAAGGGACGCCTTTGCTTTGATGGATGAGAATCTCGGTTTCAAAGTATGCAAATCTATTGTCAAATCGACCATAGTTGTCGTTTATCTATGGAATCAAAATCAGATCTGTAGTTCATTTGGTTTCATTTTGACCATGTGCTTACTTCGTGCTTGGTCCAAAATAAACTACTAAATCGCAAAGGATAGTCAGATGCGATATGAAGGTCCATCCGCGGTAGCTGTCGGTATATCTTGGTGCGTAGGGCATGAGCGAACAGAAATGATTGAATGCAAAAGTTGTAGATAGGAAAAGAAACAATGTTCACACTTTCAATGATAAGAAATCGCAAAAACAATGGATGGACTGAGACGGAAATGGAAACAGAAACACAGAACGTGCGTGGAATGCGTGAAAGGACGAGCGTGATGATAGGGGAGGCCATTACACCAAATCATGTCCCTTTTGTAGTCGGTGCGTGTTCAAACATACCATTGGCGTGGCATTGATGATCTCATCATCCACGTTGACCATGACTTAGCCGTGTGGAACACGGTGCAATGTTGTATAGGCCTTGTTCGGGGCAACATATATATATCATCCATGCCATGGTGGCATCGATGGTTTCGAATTCATAGAGACCGTAGATACTATGGACAAGGCAATATGGGAAGCATGATCTAAATCGGTTTATATCAGTTTGGAACAGACAGGTGTTGCGACCAACAACCAAGTAATGAACAGTTTCCATCCATTTTTGGCTTCAGTGGATGCAGCTGGTAGATTTTCACCTCTGAACCAATATAACAACTCAAAACAATAACATAACAACTCGCAAAACTAATATAACAACCAATGTTACTTATATACATAATGAAGTACATATGAATTACTGAAAATGAGTGGAGTAAATAGGATATATGTGTGCATGTTTGATAGGTGTGATTGCTTCAGGCTACATGAAACAATGTTTATATTTATTTGATTTGGGTAATGTAAAGAAGTATAGCAAGTTCAGAAATGGTCAAGATAACTTGATGTGTGCATGTTTAATAGGTGTGATCGCTTCAGGCTACATGAAATAATGTTTATATTTAAACATTAGTTGGGTAATGTAAATGAACATAGCAAGTTCGGAAATGGTAAAGAAAACTTACGGTTAAGTTTGGCCACTTGGTTGAACTCTTTGTGGAAGAACTCCCGAGCATCTGCAACAGTGGCTTCCGGTTGAGAGCAATAGTGCTCACCCAGGGTGATGGGCCCTTTGCCTACTTCTTTGACAAACGCGCGGTATCGGTACATAGTCCCAATTACGAACTTCCACTGTGCGCCCCATCGCTTGTGCCATTCTGCCTTAGGAATGCCTCCCTTGGTACAATCGTCATACCACACAACAAGTGAGGATACAGGAATAGGCAATGGCCAGCCATTCTGGAGGCCTGGTGTAGCAATGGCCGTTTGGACCAGCAAAGTTTGTACAGCTGGGTGTTGGTACTCGAAGGATTGCTCTGACTGCAAGGTGTGGCTAATGATGGGCGAAGTCGTGACGGTTTCGGTCCTGTAATAGAATGTGTAGCGAGGCAAAGTGTCAGTAAGCAGGGATTTTGGACTCGAGCTGGTGAAACTTACAAGCTTGGAATCAATGGTTTCGTGTCATCATTACTGGGATGTTGGCTGACGTCTTTGACTTGTTCGTCAGGGGATATTGTGAGATCAATTGTGATGCCGTTTGGTGGGGTGGTAGATGATGTGATGGGGCCAGGAGGTGGTGTCGAGGGCACCTCGACCGAACATTGAGCGGCAGCTTGGGCTGCCTTCACTTGGTTCTTAGATGCTGGATTTCCTTCGGACCCAGATGGGGTTCGTTGACTGGTGGAAGCAATTGGCGACCCGTCCATTGGGGAAGATGGCATATCGTAGATGGGGGGCAGAGCCAAAGACGAAAGAAAAGCAGAGGCTGGGGCCTTTTTGGGGGAAGATTTAGATTTTGTTGAGGTGGTGACAGCAGAGATCGGAACTTCAACTGTTGGAAGGCGGACCACAATGGTACGTTGGTTGACGTCGAATCGATGTGGATAACTGTCCAGGGTATCACGCTATGAAATGGGGTAAATGAGATCAGATGGCGTCGAGAAAACAGACAGAGTTGAGAGGAAAATCTTACCCATCCACCGATTTTTTCGTCCCAGAAGATAAGAGCTCGATTCCAATTGGGCCCATGGGCTGACTGCAGGGCGTGTACCAAGAGGGTACTCTTGCTAAAACAACATTTTGGCCAAAATGGAAACAATGCAGTGATGGCCTTAGGTTTCACTGGCTGCAGTACGGGTTGATTTGAGATTAGTTGACTTATCACTCGACATACAATGAGCACTCACGTACGTCCAGCCATAACTCAATGGTAACGAGTTTGCTCTCGTCTATGAGACTGGATAGCTGACGTTGAGCGGCGTGGTCTCGTTGCTCCCGGTTTTGCTGTAGCATCACCATCTTTTTGTGAGGGACACGTCGGCCGAGGGAGTTCGAGGTTTGGGCCCACTGGTGAGGACGAGCTTGTGATGCTGTTGCTTTGGTGGTCCGGCGCGGGGTTGGGTTAACATTTCCTGACGCAGCACTTGGCTCGGACACGTGAGATTCCCAGGCTTCGCGAAAGTTCATGGGATTGTCCTGATTTGGCTGAGAAGGGAGACTGGCAGTACTGGCAGATGCCCGAGGATGTCGGCGGCAAAGTGGTGAGCCAAAAGCTTGACAACACTAAATCGCAAAATACAAATAAGAATTGCGAAATGACTATGACAAGCTATTTGTCAAACTTCAAAAATGCACATTAACTTACTCCGAGGCAGTACTGGGAGGGGCACTCTTTGTTTGCAGCGGTCTTATGACTCTGTGACAGTGGCCCCTCAAGTGGTCGTTTGCAGATAACGTTAGGTTTTGATCTGGGTGGTCGTCCGTTTGGTGTAGTTACGCCTGAGCGATGCAGGAAAGGATGATAGGGATGGCCGGGTTGGGGATCTGGGGCAGGTCGAAGAACTTGACCGAATGGTGATACACGGGGACCCCAGTCGCCTATTTTTGATATGATTGGTCTTGGTTCTCCAAGGTTGATGAGGGCTAGCTCATGATTGAGTTGGTCACAGCGCCAGGTTTTCCAGTTGTGATCGTTATCGGGTGTTGGACACTGGGGGGTATTCGGATGTGTAAGTAAGCTGATGATCATCCATGCGCTGAAGTTTGAAATTCACTTGCCCCAATGAGCCAGGAATCGGCATTGGCCCGGCTGTAGATCATTGGGGTCTCGCATACTGGGCAGTGTAGACCAACCGCTCCTCAACGTGAGGGAATAGGGAGAGGTGCTCCAGGGTTGACCATGCGGTAGGTTTCGTGGATAAGCGTGGCAACCACCATCCTGATTAAGAGTTGAGGATGGGATGTCGAAGTTCGTGAGTCGTTCCGAAGAATGAAAGGCTTTCTGAGGTGCGTATATGTGCGGCAAGCAGGAAGGATGCCATGTTACGATGTAGGCTTAAATTTTTTGCAAGTAGAATGTTTGTGGATGAAACAGGGGACGCGAAATTTTTTTTGCATGAAACGAGGGGTAATGGGAGATCCTGTGAAAGGCGCGGTCAGGGTGGTTTCTGGCCAAATACATCTTTTTGTCCATTATGCTACCTTACGTGTATGTAACGTGTAAATATGCTTAAAGTATGTTAATATGGGGGGGCTGTATTATCACATTATCAGTGATATTATCATTATCAGCTTATCAGGAAAATTCCCCCGGTTCTTTGGTGCTCCCACGTCGCTGGGCAGCTGCACCTTTGATTGAGATTTGTGATTGGTTCGAAGGCCTTGAACAAGGCTTATATCGTGCCTGTTGTGACATTGTTGAGGTGGGTGAGTGTTGGAATGTTGATGAAGACTGGAGAAGACGGTTGAGATGTGGATTTCGTGGATTCCCAAGTGAGAAGTGTTTCAGTCTTTGATTGAACTTGTGAAAGTTTTGTGACAGGTTGTCTCAAGCGTGTCACAGATTGTCAACTTTCAACTCCGATCTCTTGTTCTTGAGGGGTTCAATGCTCAGGATGAATCAGAGCAGCAAAGGAAGGGTGTGTTGAGGATACTCGTGCAAAGAACCCAAAGGAAAAATATTGGAATATATGTCAAGTAAATGGAAAAGGTGCTGATTCTAACTTGTTGAGTTTGGAAGCTTTGCAGTTCACAAAATGCGGAGCTTCCAAATATCTTTAAGACAATTTTGAAAGTGATCAAGGAAACAAATTGTTAATTAAAGATCAACAATCGGTGATACCAGATGATGTTTTGGTTTAATCACCATCGATTTCTTGGATCAATCTCATCCATCGACTTCCATCGACTTCCATCATATCAACATTATCAAGAATATCAAGAATATCACGTAAGTTGTTCATCAAGATATGATTTCAAATTAATCATTGAAATTATTCCCTTTTTGAATGTTGAGGCAGTGATAGAATGCCTGAAGGATGCTGGATGCACACTGCTGAGGAATGCCAAGCTTTTTGTCCTGTGGAGGAAATGCCCAATGCTCTTCCAATACTGCCACGACATTCAACACCTGAACAAGCAATCGCGGTATTAGATGCATTCGAACACTGTTTTGAATATCACTGGTCCCTCAACTTGAGAAAGATCAGAGCGGATGTCGAAATTGAGCAAGAATCTGAGCATCTTCAGTGCCATATGATTGCTCTGATTGTGGCCAGAAAGAACATTCTCTCTATTCGCAACGCACGTCGTATGATTGTCAATGGTGAAGTAGACTTTGTAAGTCATGGTTTATCTCAGTCATCATGGTTTATCTGAGTCATTGTGATCGGCTCGTTGACTGACAACTTTTTTTTATTTCAAATAGTCAATATGGTGAAATGGAAATCTATTGCTTTCAGGTATACATTTCAAGAGAGTACTTGAACAGCAAATCACACAGTCAAATTTAAATTCAAATGTTCAAAATGTTTCATGGAGGCAAAAAAGAAATTTAAAGAGTGAATTGATCATTGGAGAAAGAAACACATAAGGATGAAATACAAATTATGAAATTGTTTTTGAGTTGTTGTACATTGGTTTATGTTTCGGAGTCTGATGACTCAGACTGATCCAGCAATAGATCTTGTGTTGAAAGACCTTGATCTCTTGCGCGACCTTTGCCTTTCCTCTTTTTGCTTGATAAACGTCCTTCTTGTTGTGCCAAAAATCAGTTCTTGAGGTTCCGCGATTGTTTATCTTTCTTTGCCTGTTTTTCTTTCAAAGACGCTTCCCAGTGATCAATTCCTTCTCCAACTGCTGATTTCCAATCATCCGGACAGACTTGCAAAAAAGTAAGATGTGCCCATTCACGATGCAACTCTGCCAAATAGAATGAGGCAGAGTTGAGTACAAAAAACCTTGTGTCTTTATGAACCACCATGGGTTCTCGGCTGTTTGAGATACGTCTCTCAATCATTACTTGATGGTTTTTTTCGACCATACATCCACTTTTGTGGCAGTTGTGTTGGATGTTAAGGACACCCTCGATGTCCTTTGAGAAAATAAGTTCAGTAAAGAATCTGGCTCCACCAGCGACAGAAGGAGGACTCACTGCAGGGCTGATCCACACACACTGAGTGGTTTCTTCAATTTCGCGCATGCCATAAAACACACTCGCGTCGGCTAGCTTGAACTTGAATGATTCGAATCTGCACTGTTGAGGACCTGAACCACTCAAACCCCACACTCTCCTGATCCTGCCTATGAATCTTCCGGTTCGAAGATTTACCTGGAAACAGTAAATTCAGATATTCAATGAATCAATAATTTTAGATTGATGATATGAAGTCCAGTACAACATACCGATAAAAAGTCACCATCCTTCACAGTTTGGTCATCTTGGAAAGTAAAACTTTCTAATACTTTCCACGTCTTGGCAGCGTAAGCGTCCTTAATCAATTTTGGGATGTGGCTTTTGGGCCTCGGGGGTTGTATATCACAGATTTCTATAATAAAAACATGTTAGAAGGTTTTGAGATATGATAAAGAAATTACTCACTTCCTCTCCGTGACTCCCCTGGTATATTACATTGGGAATTGTACCCCAATGCCTTCTGAAACAAGCAATTGTTCTTGAATATATCAGATACCTTTGAGCCTGCTCGTATGTATGTCTTCTGCTTGGCATCGTAGTTGAGTGAAGAAGCTGTGATTGATCTTATAAGCCTGTGGTTGTTCATTGAATTCGCAATATCTTTACCGGGGCTCAAGTGATTTGAATGTATTGAAGAGTTTCGTGTGTTGCCATTGTAACTTTCGAAGCTTTCAGTGGCAAAGAGGCATGCCGGACCAAATCTTTCAATTGTGTCGCAGAGGTGGGTGAGCATATGAAATTTTGGCTTATTAAACCATTGGGCTGAAAGTCGTACAATGGCTCGAAGGAATCTTTGCACGTGAAGGCTAACTTGAATGATATACCTGTCCATGTCGGTGATTTCGGTCTGAAATAGGTAAGGAGCAAGGTAAGACAGGGCCTTCAAAGCTGCTCGTTCTTGATCCGGTATGGCGCACTCAAAGAAGATGAATGGTGCTGATTGAAGAACTGTACGGAAATCCTTTCCAGTTAAGCTGAGAAAGTGATTGATCATTGTCTTAGGTTGAATTGCTGGAATCTTCAAGCCTGTTGTCTTGAAGGATCTCCACCGACCCCATATTCCTTCTTTTTCAATTGCCGACGAGTTTTGCATTCGGTGTCTGAGGAGGTATTTTGCTATTCCCAATAGCATGACATGAAGAACTTCAACGGGAGTGTCTTGATGCCCGTAAAATCCTGCTCCATACAAACACAATACAGTCAGCGCCATATATAAATAAGTGAGGTTGAGTCAAAAATCACAGATAAGAGCCTTCACTCACCTTTTAACCGTAGAAAAGGATTGTAAAGGTGTTGTCCAAATTGATCATTTATCTCGCGGCACAGCTGGGCGACATCTTCTTTTGAAAGCAACGGATTTCGATGGAAATCTTGGACCTTCTTGACAAATGGCGTGCTGAGAGTGTCTTTTACACCTACTTCGGCTGATCGAGTGTCGAATGATCCAATTGTTCCCGGGAGTTGCGCCAATTCCCAGAGCTCTTTGGTATAACGTTTGGTCTCTGACCAAATTCGCGGAGGTAGAGACAACTGAGAAACATGGAAAGGTCAAGTTCAATCTTCGAGACATCTCTCAACGTCTACAAATCAAAATTCTTACTTTGTTTCCATTTTCATCGACCCCAATAAAATTGTTGATATATTTTTTTGCTCTTTTTTCCAACATGCTATTGACTTTCAGATCGCAAATCCGACATGGGGTGAGTGAAACCGTTGGGTTCATCGTATTGCTGACCTTGGCGTGCATTGGAGAGTCTCCTAGATGGCATAGCACTGAGGTCATAACAAGAACTTGTGAATTTGTTTGATGATCGTAGGCCATGTAGCCATTTGTACTCAATTCACTGAATATATCAAACATGAAGCAAAGTCAGCTTATTGTTGAAGCAAGTAGAAACCCAAAAATCACTTGAGTTTGTCAATCAAAGGCTCAGCAAGCTCCAAAGCACCCGCTCTGTTCGAAGTTGTTAAGAAGTGACAGTTGTATTCTTGATTCGCAAACTTTGGAGGTAATCCAGCTAGAGTGAAATAAAATGTGATGTGCTTGTTTCAACGCTTTGAGACATTTCCAGAGAGGTCATCGCAATACAAAACCAGTGGTACATTTCGAATGAATCTACCTTTAGCCTTTGTGCGCCATGGATTTGTAAGAGGAATATTGTTGAACTGTCCGCTTCCAAGATGCTCTGGAAAAGATTGGATGCTGCTCAGCTGGAATAAAAGTATAATGTATGTGCTTGATTGAATACTGACCATACATGATGTCCCCACAGTGATCCTTCAGAAAGACATCCTCACGTATTTTGATTGTTTCGAATGATCTACCAAACTCCTTGACATTGATAGAGGTCAAAATAAAAGAGTCAAAGGAAGAAGCAGACTCGTACTCGACACAAATTTTAGTTTGATTGGGAATCCGTTGATAAGTGTGACTTGCAGAGGTACACTTTGCAAATATCTCTGTGCCTGCTTGATAAAAAAAAAGCGGTACAACAATCCTTTGGGATTGTAGTTGTACGGAATGCGAGGTGTGTCAAAGTGACAATTCAATTTTCAAAAATTGAAATTTCAGAATCCCCGGGTCAGAAATTGATAAAACTGGAATAAACATCAGATTTAACCCCAATACTGGTCTGAAACCGCCTGTATTGGGGATAAAACCTATCTTTCTGTCAATTTTCACAATTTCCAGACCACAACTCAAATATCGACCACTGACTTGGCACTTTGGCACAAATAATACATGAAAATTTCAAGAAATTGATTTTCATCATGTCAAACTTCACATATGTATAAAACAACAAAACCCAATACCTAACCGTACCACAAGTTCACCTTTTGGGTAAATGCACACCCATCAAAACCTAATGTGATCATTACTAAGATCCCTACCGAGTCAACCATAGAGAAAATTTACAACCAATCACTATCAGCTTTCACCTATTCCACAAAGTCTATATCCCTGGGACCGGGATAGACAAAAGCCCCGGTCCCAGGGCTTGTCTTTCTCTCCAGTCAATCGACTGGAGAGAGCCACCTAAGCCTAGGTGGTCTCTCTATTAGAGTTTGACCACCTAGGCTTAGGTGGCTCTCTCCAGTCAATCGACTGGAGAATAAGACAAGCCCTGGGACCGGGGCTTTTGTCTATCCCGGTCCCAGGGATATAGACTTTGTGGAATAGGTGAAAGCTGATAGTGATTGGTTGTAAATTTTCTCTATGGTTGACTCGGTAGGGATCTTAGTAATGATCACATTAGGTTTTGATGATATGTGAAGTTTGACATGATGAAAATCGATTTCTTGAAATTTTCATGTATTATTTGTGCCAAAGTGCCAAGTCAGTGGTTGATATTTGAGTTGTGGTCTGGAAATTGTGAAAACTGGCAGAAAGATAGGTTTTATCCCCAATACAGGCGGTTTCAGACCAGTATTGGGATTAAATCTGATGTTTATTCCAGTTTTGTCAATTTCTGACCCGGGGATTCTGAAATTTCAATTTTGAAATTTCAAGTTGTCACTTTGGCACATGTCGCATTCCGTATAGCTGCACTGGTTCAAACAGGTAAAAGTGAATTTCATTTGATTCAACCATCTGAACCCGTAAGTCACCATCTAATGTCTCTCGCCACCTCTTGGATTGTGCCAAACGATTGACTTTACTTCTTTTGTCCGGTAGCTCAGGCATAAACTGGAGATGCTGCGAAACATAAGGGTTGGCCAGTTCCTATTCGAAGGCAAGATGTGTTGATAATGTGATGTTTCTTACGGTTTTTGAAAGAAAAACTTGCTTACTTGGCTCAAAATCTGTTTGACTTTCAGTCTGAAGCAAGGCTTCTCCAAAGGGCTTACGGTCTCACAGACATCGTAGCTGTAGCATTGCTTGAGTTTCCGACGCAAGTTCTGTAGAGCCTTGTATCCGGGAAGCTTCACACCTAGGAGTCCAACAAAGGATCAAACCCGTTCGTATTGGAGTTGAGACATGGTTGTCCTTGTCGAGCCAAGAATCAGCAACCCAACAAGTTGCTGATCGAGAACAAATTTGTGAACGAATAAAAGAGATTATGTTAATGAAACTGAAAAATCGCCAAAGAAAGATGAACAAAGGATCAAACCTCCAAGCTTGAAAAGGGAGCCCAGGACTCGCTGTCCTCCTGTGTGACCCGTTCTCCATCGCCTTCTGACAGGTCTGAGGGCAATTCTTCCTCATTCGTTTCAGAATCGTCCTCAATGGGTGGATCATTGCTGCTGTTTGATAGGTCTGATGGTAGATTGAAGATTTCAGAATGATCTTTATTCCAAAGATCAACAAGGATCTTTCGGCGCTCTTCAAAATCATCTGAGTCTGATGCTTCGTTCGGACTGGCTATGATTGGAGCAGGGGTCACAGGTTCTGGTGTGACATCGTGTTGAGGCTCTGGTATGACATCGTGTTGAGGTGGTTGTGGAAGAGGTTTACGACGTTTACAAGCACGAGGTTTACGAGGTTTACGAGCACGGTCGGCTGTCCATCTTCCAAAGTTGTTGATGTGATTTTGAAGTTCACAATGCCTTTGAATGGACACCATTTGCATTGTCCTGCTTCACAGTGACATTTTACTACTCACTGGCAGGCCAGTGAGTACGATTCACCTCAAAACAATCTCAAAACAATCTCAAAACAATCTCAATTCAATATCAAATCGACCTCAGGTTCAGTTTGAGTGGGGGATATGCATGAGCTGCAGATGCACCTGCAGCTAGTTCAGTAGTACAGCTGCAGATGTAAATTGATCTTCCAAAACTTCCAACGGCTTCTTTTAAATTGCTCAGGATGGTAAATTGCATTCTGAGAACTTCTTATGCAGCAAAGTTTGAACTCATCAGATATCCTTTCTTAATATCCAGTCACATCTTATAATGGAGTCATATTTCCAACTCAATTACAAACCATGTTGTAATAGCAGGGTAGCTTGATGGAATCAAGGGCTCATGATCCTTAATAATTCTGATGGACAGAGTTGTTAAAACAAAAGCTCAAAACCAAAAATGACAAGTGTTTCCTTTTCTCTTACTTTGTGAAATATTGATAGCTTCACATTATTTTTTCGATATGCTTTGTGTACATACCTGGTATCAAAAACTAAAATTGATGAACAGATCAAACCCAACACAGTGCATGAATGAGATTCACAAATTTTTGGAGATAATAAAGGAATGAAAATGTTTTGAACCCAGAAAAAGTGGAAAAGGAGAACTTTTACATTGAGGCCACATCAAAACATCTTCTTGCTCTCATGGTTATTCAATATCCATGGCATCGTCTTCCAGATTGAGTTCCTGCACAAAGCCCTGGAAAGTTGAAAAATGGATCAGGAGACTTCTACATGGTGACTCTATTGAGCGCAGTGATAATCTCAGGAACTCACCAGATTGTTGAGCTGCACTATTGAAAGTGTTGGGCAAGCAATATCGAATGTACCTGCCGTGTTATGTTGTACAACAAGCTGGCCAATCACCTTGTGACATGGAACAACATGATAATCCTCACAAACATCATATATAACTGATGCAATAAGCAATCTTGGCAAGGAATCATAGGGGTCCTTGTGCTTGTCTTCAGTATTGAGAAACTTCAGAGATCTGACAACTAGAACTGGCTGAGTGACATCAGGAAGCTTGACAATGTCTGTGATATTACCAACCCTGTTACATGAATCCAAAGAGTATGATATATAGCTGTTTCCAGGATTTTTGCGGTATGTACTATGTGGCTTGTTAGACATGACAAGGCTTTTACCAACTTCAAAAGTGGATGCAGAAGTTTTGTCTGGGCCAAGGATCCCAAGTTTTTGAAGTGCTTCGAATGCTTGAGAACTGAGTTTTTTTGCAGTCCACTTGGTCCGGCGGTTTTGTTGTAGATATTCTTTGATAATAGGGTCAGCATCAATGGTAGGATGGCTATTGTTAATCATTGCTTGAAAGAATCCACACATTGAATGTTGTTTGAGGAGGGTCTCACCCACTTTTTCTACTCAAAACAATCCAGGTCAGTTGCTGCATCCTACTTGTACAAATTAGGAACAAACACACTTTGATTTCCGTTCTTTGAGGTCTGCACAAGGGCTCCAATGATCCGCTCACCTGACCAGCTAGCTGTGTAAGCTGGAGGCCCAAGAAGTGTGGAGATTTGGCCAATATGTTCGGCAAAATGTAAGTTGGGCTTTTTTTTCTTATGTGGCCATCCATCCCCTAGGGTAGCTTGATGTTCCTCAACCAATGTTGTAATAATTTCTCCATCACCATGCTGAAAGGAACGCTGCGTGCAAATGTTGCCAATCTGAATAAGCTGAAGGAGGCTAGCTAGGATTTTAGCTGATGTTGATGCAGGGTCTCCACCTTTGAAATGAGGTATCCAAGCTAGTACAATAAAGACTTTGTATAATGAATGCCATTCAGCAGCTTTGGGTGTGCCTGCGCTAGCCATTCCAAAGTTCTTCTGAGGTCGAGTGAGCCACGAAGGGCCTTTGGCATGCTTGATACAGCGTTGAAGTAAATCCAGTTCATAGGAAGTGATCTCGGGGATGATGGCTGGAGGTGGGGGTGTGGGTGATCGAGAGTGGTCCGATCCATTGTGATTCTTCTTTTTACCTCTAATTGTATGGTCTGATCCAGCTGAAGATGCCATATCCCGATGGAGATTAGAGGATACAGCTGATCGAGTATCATAAGAATGGCGGGAGGGTGGCTGGGGAGGAGGCAGACCGCTTGTGGAAGCTGCATCATCAGATCCAGGTGGACTAGGTGATGCCGGTCGAGGGAGCTGCACATCATATTGCCGATTACTGAATTCCATTTTTTCTCGTTCAGCTTCAAGAGCCTTGCCAGCTGCTGGTACTTGGATGTATTGGGTTGAAAAATCTTTGTATAGACCAAGGAAGATGTTGTGCATGATGTCAACAGAAAAAAATTCAACAGCTTGCCAGTATGGCAGCTCATGAAGGATACTATATCGTACGCCTGTTGTCTTTGCCAGCTTCGCTTGCTCACTTGCAGTTTGAGATTGTTCCCATTCCACAGCTTGCACCTTGACACCCTCAGAAGTTCGGAGCTCGGCCTTTGGTGCTGGAGATTGAGAGTGATAGAGATTACGATCGATCAGACAGAGAGAGCAAAAACATGTTGACGAGTGTGAAGTTCCTCCGGTGACCTTCTTCATTGCTGGAACGTCCCCGTGAATAGGCCATAGTGCGGCACGAAGGATGCATCCTTTGGGATACTTGGATGTTGATGTAAAGGTGATGCTGTCCCAGAAATCCAACATTTCAGTGACTAGTGGTTTGAGAAAATGATTCATTTCCGACAGTGATGGTTCCGATGGACCTGGCATGATACCATAAATGCAGATGTTCTCTTTTTTGTATCGTATTGTTGGAGGTAGGTTGAAACATGTGAGGAGCATGACACCAACTGAAGTCTTTGTTGCTGCATTCTTGCCACCAGGATTGAACCAATCACACCATAATCCAAATACAAGGTGACCAGATTTTGATGTGAAGATATACCTGTCTTTCTGGAAGGTTTTCCACAATGTACCATCCCATATATCATCCATTCTATCGTTGGCAGGTTGCTGACGATTGACGTGTGCATCAATGCCTTTTCCAAAGTAGTGATACTGAAGCATCTTTCCAAGCCAAGAACGTAGCAACTGATAAAAGAAGAGGCGCATGGGTTTCTGAACAGTTCCTGATGATTTCTTGTAGAGAGGAGATTGACAAGGTTTGCGGGGTAGAGTAGTTGACGCTTTTGTAGTAAATCGTGGGACATCACAGAGTGGAACTGGTGATGCATTGAGGGGTAAAGGTTCTTGAATGGAAGACAAAGCACAGCAGAATGGGCAACATGTTTTTGATTGTACAGATGGTTCCAGTTTGAGTGTCTTCAGAAGGGTTGGAAGGCCTAGAGGAATCTCTTTCCAAACTTTGTTCCTGGTTGTTGGATCTTGTGTGAGCTTTTGTTCCTTGACACTCTCTCTAGCTTTGGCAAGGCTTTTGTTACAAGCTTTGACCCCGACGTTATGGAACAGGTGTTCCTTTGCGACTTCAAACATTTCACGCATGCAGAGCGGGTCTTGCAAAAATCGACGTGGGATGGAAGTGGTGGTTTGTGTGTGACCGAGATCTAGCCGTGGAGCTTTTGGGTGGTGAGGAGCTGACACAACTTCGTCATCTTCGGTATCTCTAGCTTGTTTGTTGCTGCGCATAGGTGTAGCAGCCCCAATCGGAGGCAGCACAGGCGGCAATACCGCACGGCTGGTTGATGCAACAGGGGTATTTGAAGGGCCACCCTGAAAAATGTAATGGTGAGGTCAGAATAGTTCAAAGTTTGCATGGAGGACAATTGGGTGATCATACTATCAAAGGCTGCAACAACATGGATTGTTGACTTTGAGGTGCAGGATGGTCACTAGGGCTAGGAAGTGGTGTCATGGTGTCCACTAGTCTGTTGATATCTGCAAGGTGCTTTGGATACCTTGTTCGACTGAACAATTGGCCCCGGTGCACATTGCCCATGTACTCAATCATCTTTTGGGAACAACCCAGCTGGGGACATGAACACAAAACATGTAGAGGTCCGAGGGCAGTAGCATGTGATCCCAGAGTGAGGGGCATAGTGTGGCAATGGTGTGATGGTGTAGTGGTAAGTGGTTGATGTTGGCGGAAAAGGTGTAAAAGTTGGCAAGGTATCAGAGCCCAAAGTGGGGCAAAAAATTTTGTGTTACATGTTACATGTAACAACACTTGTAAATTCATTTTGTATATTTCTTATAAGGGTTAGGGCTATATAGTACATTGAGTACTAAAGGTGAAAGTTGGGTGGCCAGCTGAACCTGAGGTACTCAAAGGAGGACTTAGGCTGTTTGCAACATTGAAGACATGGTCTGGAACCTTATCTCACAGATTTACCATGGACATTTTGAGTACATCAGGATTTTCAAGTGACAGGTGTGGTTGGCATATAAAGGACAACTGGCTAACAAGCAGTAGCTACAAGGTTTTGGCTTGAGGTACATATCTTTTCAAGGAAAATAATCAGCACAACACACAAACAAGGAAAAAATTAGGAAAAACTATTCAAGACCTGCTTGAGGCACTGTAGTTTGATTACCTGTGGAAACTGGATGGAATGGCAGGTCATACGGGTTATCAGGGTATGGGGCACCCGTCAGCACAGGCCTCATCTGACAGAAGGCAGCCAAGTCTCTTTGAATGGCTTGAGCAAGCAGGAGTTTTGAACACTCTTTGGGATGCCATTGATCCTGAATGGAGGCTTCATTCACCCCATCATTTGTCAACCCACTTGCTGAATCAAATCCTTCGGGGAAAAGAGCTTCACGAATGAGCTTGAGCAAGAGCGCCTGCGTGTGTTTCCAAAACGGCTCTTCAATAGGACGATCCCCGTGGATCCGGCTGACTAGGACAAGGAAATGTGCAAGCTTGCAAAGGCCAAATCGTTTGGGATCGTGAGGAAACAATAGAAGTCCCTTGACGCCCGAGGTGAGAAACGCAACCAGCAAGCCGAATGGAACTGTTGGAATTTGCCCTGCACCGGCTGACTTGGTGAGTTTATCATATGCTGCATCGAGTTGTTTGTGTTGCTGTTCAGGGGCGTGGAAAAGCTGTTCAACATGTCGAAACCGAGCTCGCAAACTAGCAATAGCCTCCAACAATCCATATATCTTATGCACCAATTCCCACATCGCAATAACACATTCTTGTACAGTTGAATTGCCGGTGCATAACTGAAGTTGATGATAATGGTGGGCAGCCTTGAGCCCATTGGCGATTTGGACGTCGGGACAGATTTCCAAATTGACCTGCGGCGGTTGAATCTCGACGGTCTCCATCTTACAGTACGCAACAGCAGCGAGGACATACTTCACACTCTGATTGATCTTGGTTGCTGAGCTGTGACAGAAGACCCCAAGGATCTCGCGCACATACTGGGTGTGCGCTTCCTCTTTGCTGGGACCTTTTTTGATAAGTGCCGCGTTGTCCAGGCGAAAGATATCCGCTCGGTGCCACGGTGCCTCAGCAGCACATTGAAACAGGCGCATATCTGGCAGTGAAAGTCATGGAAGTCAGCATTGTCTAATGATGATATTAACAAACGGTGCAGGCTTACTGGGATCCTTGCTAAGCCACGTATGGACACGCAGCTTGCTTTTGGGCAAGATCTTGAATGGAGGTGTAGGCTGAGATTGCACCTCCAACGCTGCCTGGTCTGTGCCTCGTGTTCTCTTACACAACAGATCCAATGCCGCGCGATACATATCCGGCACGTCGCTATTGTCAATGGTCTTTTTTTCGACAGTCTTCTTAGTTACCTGAAAATTCGTGGGGCTTTCAACAGCCCATATCGATGGCGTGAGTGATACCTGTCGCACATCGGGATTGACAGGAACTGGTAGGCCCCCAGTGGGAACACCTCCGGGGGGGTTGATCAAGACCGCTGGCGAGGCCTTAGGAGATGTGGTGGTCTCCGTGAGGGGGTCCAATTGATTTAGCGAGGGGAGCGGGGAAGCAGTTGATGCCACTAAGGGTAGCGTGGGAATCGAGCCAGGACTGCAAGGCGAAGTTGTGGTAAGCACAGCATCAGCCTGGGTCTTCACGGGGTCGTCATCGTGCGGTGGTGGATCTTGAATCGCGGGCGTCGCTGTGGTTGGGCGTGGCGTTGGCAATGTTGAAGACATTTCCAACGTCTCGTTCGCAATGGCACCTGTACACTTAAGTATTTACCCAATACCATAGGGTCATACAGACGTCTGTATGACCCAATGTCATTCGAGTCTGACTGCCAAGATGAATCATCATCTTAAGAAGCATCTTGAAGGGTTTCAATTTTGGCTAAGTCACCTTTTCCCTTAAGGAAACCAAGACCAGCCCCGAGTCCCCACAGAACACTACCCACCATGCCACTAAAAACCCACCTCCCTACAGTGCAAACCACACCACCTCAACAAAAACCCACCATCATTCGACTTTTTCCCACCCCCTCAGCCAATTCCAACCACCCTTTGAAATTTTCTCTACCTACTCAACCAAATTCAACCACCTTACAAATCTCAATTCACCCTTTCAGAAAAATTTCACCACCCATATTGTGACCCTATCTTCAAACCTCACCACCCTTCGGCACACCTACACCACCACCCTCGGACATTACCCGTATATCAACACAAACACCACTCACCCACTACCCTTTCATACATATACACCAACATTAACCACTCCAGCCACAACATATACACCATATGTGAATTTTCATACCCTGATACCCTAACCACACACCTCTCAACAAGGCAACTCACCTATTATCTATCACCCTCTCACAAATTGTTCACAACAAATCGACCTCGACAGTCATTCACCCATCTCGATAACCAATCTCGCCCCCAATGTCGCCTACCACCTCCACATACACCGATTGTCCTAGCCTTCACCCACCCCCCCATGACCTTGTCACCACCTCGCTTGACGACATGCAGTCTCATCTCAAAGCACACGCAGCTGCGAATGGATACAAAATTGCTACACGATCATCAGAAGAGACCAGCATACGTTACAAGTGCCATCGATCAGGAAAGAAACCCTCGCTCAATTCATGCTCCCGCAAAACCAATTGTCCTTTTGCCGTCAAAGTTTTACAGGTCCTGACTTGCTTGGTTAGTCCAAT